AGTGTAATGGACAGATGGACAGATTATTCCAGATTTTAAACATTATGTAAGGAGAGGCAAATTCTTTGTTTTTCAGCCTTTCGAGCGTTATTAAAGAGCATTTGATCCGTTTCTACCGTAAGTCCCTAGGTGAGGGGTTGGTCGAGGGTGAAACTAGTAACCCACTAATCACCATCTACCCACCCTTTCTTTGAACACCGCTCCACCGAACCATTCGAGCGATGCTTAATTTTGAACTTCCATTTACATCCAATGGCACGTTTTTCAGAGAGAGAAATTAAATGGTCCAAATACTATTATGCTCAAGTGCATGAATTTCATGTTGTATAGCAATACGCCAGCGGTCATTTTTAACTGCTTCCGCAAAAGTACGAGGTTCAATACCAGTAGTAATTCTAGCCAATAAAGCCCGATGTCACGGAGAAAAAGAATCACAACTCAAATAATGATGAATGGGATAGGACGCACCTGAGAAAACCCCGAAAGCAGATGAGGCAGGAGAGAGGTTAGAGAGAAAAAATTCTATTTATTCTTTTATTCCCTCACATGGCCTACTTGAACATATTTATCACAATAAGCACATTTGTCCTTCTTCACTTGGCACCACAACACCACCTCCATTCCTATTTCCTTATAACTTGGAAGAAAAGTAATGAAAGGAAAACTTAAACTTCAAGAAAAAGAAAAGAAAAATACTTGAACTTCAATCTAAATCAAATTGGGGTTTATTTAAACAACTCAATTCTCTTTCTACCCATTTTTCTCCCTCTCTCACGTATAAGACCCAAAATTGTTCATGATTAAAGAACAAAAACTTGGGAGGCAAGTTTCACTAACTCTAAGTAAAAGAAAACATAAAGAAATAATTAAAAGAATGAAACTTAAACTTGAAGACAAGGAAATAATTATATTTATTTATAGAACTCAAACCTCCACCACATTGTCAATTAGTACACCATTAGCTAGCCATAATTCTTATTCATCTTCCTCCATGTATATGGCCCAAACCCCACCCTTCATTCCTAGCAACTTGGAAGCAAAGAAACATCACTAAAACTTTAAGTAAAAGAAGTAAAATAGAATATAATGAAAATTAAACTTTAAGTAATAGAAAAAAAATAAAATTAAATAGTTACTTGAACTTCAAGCCAAAGTAGCTTGGATTTTATTTAAGAACTCAAACCCTCACCACTCATCGGCTATCTCATCACTACATAGTACTAGCATCTATTTTTGTTTTATCCTTTCGAATTCATAATCAAAACATCTCATCCTTTTGTTAAAAACTCCAGCCGAGAAAATACACACCGAAAAGTGAACTCCGAAAAATAGTCATTGGTGAAATACGTATCAAATAGATGACCCATCCATATAGAAAGTGAGGCCTTTTTTTTCTTTTTTTTTGCTTAGTATACATTGAGACAATGCTTGATTAGAGACTTCAAAGGATGTGATGAAAGCAACTCAGATCATTTAAGGTGTGAGATTCACGGCGATCTTCTAAATGGGTTTTTCTAAACTTTATGTGTATATATAAAACTTTTTTCTAGATAACTGTGAAAAGCATTCATGTGTGCAAAATTATTTTCGAAATCGCTCATTCTTGTTATTTTGGAGTATTAATAGATGATGTTGCAAAACTATGTGTTAAATGCTTACTATTGTTGATAACGTGAATATGTGCTTTGGAGAATTAACTGATCATATGAATTTCTGTTATGTGAGTTTCTTGATCCATTCACATCAAAAATTTTATGTAGATTCAGAGTTTTGTATTTCACTTAATGAAATGTGATCAATGGGCTAATTTACGTGCTCTTTTGAATTAGGGTATCCATTTGAAAACAATTTCAAAGTTACTATCTTGAGTTTTTTTTTTTTTTTACTGAATAAAGAGAAGACAATATATATGATTTCTGGAACTTATTTTGAATTTCAAGAATATATTATTTTTTATTTCTTTTATTTCAAAACTCTTCACGAAATGATTTTTTCTCATCTTGTTCAAAGACGTAGAGAACTGAAACAAAATGTTATTTAACTTATGTATTGACCTCTTTAAAATATCATTTATCAAAATCCTATAAATTTTCTGCAAGTCCTAATTGTGGTGACTTGCGAGAATTAGTGATTTGACTAAATTACCCTTTTAACTTAAAAAACATGTGCTTTGGAATATCTTTATGAAAATTATTTTTACTAGAGTCTAACTAGCGTGGTTCAAATTCTACCATTCAAACTGATAACAATTATTTCTTGAAAATTTTCCCAAAATTCAAAACTTGTAGTTACAAATAACCCCGAAAGGGAGCATTTTGGTCATTTTGCTCAAAAACCTCAGAAATTGAAGAAATGGCTTGAAGGGCCTATAGTTGAGTCTTGGACATAAATTGAGCATGGATCAAGTGTGATTTTCAAATTTAATACTGGGAATCCGCATTGCATTTCTGGTTGTGAGACCAAGTGTCTATTAAAAAAAGTGAGTTGATTGAAATTTAATAACTTGAATTCATGAGTATATCTTGCCATCCTGAGTTATATCGTGATACTTGTATTGTGTGCTCGCACTGGGTGCCCAGAACTTGTTACTTGTTAACCGTGACAAGGGTTTTGAACTCGAGTCATTGGCTATACTATAAAGGGGCGGCAGTCTCATGAGATACCAAATTAATTATGTTAAGTGAGTGGGTAGATTGGAGCCCACTAGGTTGTCAACTACTATACCTCATATTGTTCTAGCCCTAAGCCGCATGCAGTGTATCGGCGGGAAAAGTTGGTCCTTGGCGTGAATAGTGTTAGCTTGAACTCATGGTCCCGCGAGTTTTGGGGATGCACCATGATGTTCTTGCCATAGAGTTTAGGTCAATCCAAAATTGTGTCTTTGAGTGGGATTAACCGACGCTCAAATGTGATCTTGCATGCCTTGATTGACAACTTGTGCATGTTTTGAAATCGTTTTCTTGAAAATTATTTTTATCCAGTTCCTTTTGTTGAAATGCTCATAACACTTTCTCTCAACCTGATTTGTGAAAAGTATAAAGTATATATATCGTATAATGCTATTTTCCAAAGCTGAGAATGTCACACTGAGATAATTACTCACCCTATTTTCAACTTTAAATACTTCCACATGTAAACATGAGGAGTGAGGTTAGTAGTGTATTGGCCATGAAACTTGTGTAGAATTTAGTTGATTGTTTTAATTTTGACAATTCAGATTATTGTAGACAATACAAATTGGAATAGTGTAATAGATATTTTGGAATAAGATTCAAATTCTAGATCCATATTAGCATGCTTTCACATAATTTATTGAGCGTAGTGGGGTCTTGGCGTGAGCCATGCAGACATCGAACGCCCGCATTCCCGTTAAGGGAACAGGGGGTTGGGGCAAGGTGTCATAATCATGATGATTGATATTGGAGTTTTGCATATATTGACTTATATTATTGAATTATTGGCTGCATATATATGATATTTTTGTCAATTGACATCATTGCCACTGGAGCTTTGTTACGTCGCATACCACTCAACCTCATACCTGTCAAGGGCATATTCTATTTAAATAATGACGTTTGGTCTGAGTGTTACTTCATGTCTAGCTAATGAAAGAAATTGAGCTCGCGAAGATCTTTGGGATGAAAATGTGGATTAAAGAAAATTCTTGAATTTCTTACAGTGCATGACATTTTGACCTTGCAATCACCATGTCATCCATGTAAATTAGTACTGCAAAAAATTTAAAAAAACAAAAAGAAAAATAAAAATTTAGATTTTGAAGTGATAGTTAGGAATATGCACAAGATTGGATAAATCTAGATTGATTAAGTACAGGATAAAATTAACTCTAACTACTGTTTATCATAAAAATAATCTTCTGACAAAGGTCATTCTGGTTGATGATCAGCCTCCTTATGTCTCCAAGACTCCTTATCACTCAATGTAAGCAGTATTGGAGTTGGACTGTGAGGCTTATCTTCTTTAATATCCCCCTAAAACTGAGTCGGATTTGGAGGCACAGTTTGCTGTAAAAGAAAAAAAAATATTATTGTTGTAATTTTTGGAAGATGGATGTTGAATTGGTTGTAGAGGTCTCGAATTATGGACCAAAACTGGTGAGGAAGCTATAAGATCTTTGTTGTAGCAAGACTGTCACACAATTTTTTAAAAAGTGTGAATGTGATCTCCAATGAACATGTTGTCATCTTTGTGGAGATACGTGAGTTGTTTAATTTAAACTTTCTTATTTGAGAAAACTGCATTTTGAGTGTTTCTCGGAGGAATGTGTGTCTCAAAACAAATGGCAAGTCCAATGAGTTTTTCGGACTTTTGCCATGATTGAAACTTTGGAATGGATTCAAAAGAGGGGTGTTTTTTTTTTTTGTTGTGCTTTTTGGATTTTTTTTTTTTTTTTTTTTTGAGGTAAGATTGAGAGTGACAATTTTAACGTTGATGAACGGAAGCCATAGTTGATGGACAGAGATATAGTTATTCAAATAAATAAGAAAAATAAGAAGAAAAAAAAAACAGACATGATAATACCTGCTCTGATACCAAGAAGAAGCCCATGAGGTTCCATCTCAAAACCAATTGGCAACGAGGAGAGTAACCCATGAAATTTATATATTGATATCTGTTTCCTCCCAACATTAACGTGGGATTGAGATTCTCAATATGCAGGAAATAATTTTGAGAACCACTTTCTAGAAGCTCGATTGCTACTATCACAATTTATGTTCGTGAGTCCATTGACAAGTTTTATCATTTTTCTTCTCCTTGAAAGTGGAAGCACGTACCGAGAATATATGTTGGGGAAAGAAAAATAATGAAAAAGTAAGATTTGCCTCATAAGCAAAAGGTTTATAGGAAATTATTGAGAAGTAACAACATTTAAGCAAGTATATTCCCAATTCCGTAGCTCAAGACGTGTCTTCATTATATTCATTCACTCAACAACAAAACCACCCAAAAGAAATGTATCTTGATTATTAAAGCTTTAAAGCAGCGAAAAAACGGAAAGGAAAACTATTACATTTAAACATAAAAAGTCGCATTGATTTGGCTTCATCGCATCAGCCACTTTGGTTTTGGATGAGAGCGGTGAGTTCCATCTTCTTCTTTTCATATTCACGAACTTCGGCAACCTCTGTTTGCCCATCCAACCATTGAAACGCCTTGTTAATTTCGTATTCAACCCTTCTTCTGTCAACAGATGACAAGTTTGTCTTGCCTATAAAATTTCTCATGTCACAGAAGTATTTCTCAAAATCATTCCGCGCTTTCTGCTTCTCCATGTGCTTTTCGTCCTCGGCCGCGAATTCATTTGCTTCCTTCATCATCTTCTCGACTTCATCCCTCGATAGTCTTCCACTATTGACAATAGTTATGCTCTTCTCTGCACCCGTTCTTGTATCCGGCTCACTGACCTCCAAGATGCCGTTGGCTCGCAAATTAAAGCAGAGTTCAATCGGCACTCCTTTGAGGGCCTTTTGAATGCCATCAACCACATACTCAGCCAACAAATGGTTCTTACTTGCTATGGAACTCTCACCTTCGTACACTTTAAAACTTGCATAAGTTTGGTTATCATGAGCAGTATAACAACGTATTGATACCTTGGTAGGGATGGGGGTATTTCTAGGAATTACTACCCACATTTTGTCTCCCATCGATCCTAAACCTAGAGATAACGGAGTAATTTCCGTAAGCATGAGATCCCGAACCTTGTCATCACCTCGGCCGCTCAAGATTGCGGCTTGAACAGCTGCACCACAAGCTACCGCTTCGTCTGGGTTGATTTTCTTACAAAGTTCTTTTCCGTTTAGAAAGTTACTCAGCATTTGTTGAACCTTTGGGATCCTACTCGAACCGCCAACGAGGACGACGTCATCCAGTGTATTCTTCTTCATTTTGGCATCTCTCAAACACTTTTCAACCGTCTTCATGCACTTGGCAAATAAATCCGAGTTCAATTCCTCGAATTCGGACCTCGTAATAGTTGTTGAATAGTCAATGTCTTCAAATAGGGAATCGACCTCGATGGTTGTTTCGCGATTTGAGGAAAGCACCCTCTTAGCCTTCTCGCAAACTGTTCTTAATCTCCTAATCGCTTTAGGACTTCCACTCATATCTTTTTTGTGCTTCTTCTTGAATTCCTCCATGAAGTGGTTCACCATTCGATCGTCAAAGTCTTTACCACCAAGGTGAGAATCACCACAGGTAGCTCTTACTTGAATGTTACCCTTGTCAATGGTGAGAACCGCAACATCAAAAGTACCGCCTCCTAGGTCAAACACAAGAATGTTTTTCTCATCGGAACCCGCGGAATGGAGATCGAGCCCGTAAGCAATCGCTGCGGCTGCTGGTTCTGTAATGATGTTTAACACGTTAATGCCGGCGATTTCTCCGGCATCTATGGTAGCTTGACGCTGTGACAAATTGAAATGGGCAGGGACGGTTATAACTGCGTCAGTCACTGTTGATCCAATGTAAGCCTCGGCTATATGCTTCATCTTAGATAGAACCATGGATGAAATCTCCTCCGCGGTGAATTGTTTTTCTTTACCTTTGTGGGTAACAATAATCAGAGGCCTATCATCTGCACCAGGAGTGACCTTGAACGGCCATAGTTTCATGTCTTCTTGGACTAACTCATCACTAAATCTCCTGCCGATCAACCTCTTAGCATCTGCAATTATGTACCCAAAAAAAATAGCAATCATCATCAACCTGTACAACTACTCTCTTTGCCAAGATTAGAGTAACGCACAATCCCTCAAATAAATTTCTTCTTTCTTTAAGAAATTAATTATTTTCCTCCTCCCTATGTTAATAAATAGTGCAAATTTTTTTAAAAAAATAAAAATAAAAAAGGGGAAATTATAAACCATTTAAACCTTAGAAATTGAAATAAAAAATTTAGCTTGGATATAATATTGCGCTTAACATTATTTATTAACTTTACCTCAACTATTAATTAGATGATGCAAACATTTTAAGTTCAAATTGTTTTAACTATAAAAATTAGACTTTTTAAAATTTAAAAAAAAAAAAAGGAAGAGGGACTAGTATGAGCAATTTTCCCTTGTCATTTTTAATTATTCCATGCATACGTGATCTTATCCTGCAGGAAATATTATCTCCCGCTTTTTGCATCATAATATATATACTACATGGTTTAAAGAGAATCTAAATAAAAGAAACTAATTAAATTGAGGTGAACTGATGTCCTTAGATGATTTAGTTTTTCATAGTAATAATAAGATTTTAAAAAAAAAACAAAAGATTACTTACCATTAACTGTGTTGGCAGAATTGGTTGCAGCTTGGTTCCAAGCAGCGTCGCCAGTGAATCGCTCTTCATTTGTGAAAGCTACATAAGACGGGGTGATTCGGTTCCCTTGGTCATTTGTGATGATTTCAACATTATTATTCTTCCAGTATCCCACACAAGAATATGTTGTCCCTAGATCTATACCAATTGCTACACTTTCTCCACCCGGCATAGTGTTAAATTGAAGCTAACCAAATGAAATTTATTTAGAAGAAGTTTTTCAAAGCTAATTGATAAGGAAAATGTAGAAAGTTTTCTTCACACTATGATGGTCATTGCACTTTAGTAGCGAGAAACTGAGAGGTTTTTGAAGGGGGAGAAACTGAGAGGTATTTATACATGTATTGCATTTCCCTCTGTGCATATAAAGTTAATTTTATGGTAGATATGTGGGAACGTGCCTCAAATTTTCTCTAGTTTGAATAAGTACTCTTTAACTACTGCGTACCATTTTGTCATTCTACTATTTTGTCAAAAATCGGATTGTTATCTAACGAAATTTCCCTCAAGTTTTTTTATTTAGGCTTTGAACTTTCAAAACCACTAGTTTTGTCATTTACTATTTTGTCATTTTACAATTTTGTCAAAAATTGGATTGTTAAAGAACCAAGAGATCGCTACATCTAGTCACCCACTGCCGCTGGCCGCAAAACGTTTATATATGCATGATTAAAATCTTTAGCTTTATTCTTCAATTTTCCACAGAATTTGTATTATTGTATCTATTTCAATTTTTTCTGTCCATACTCGTAAAATATGATGCTTAGCCCAAAACTTGAGTCCACACGGCTTAACCACCAAAATATCATTCGATATACCAAACTTTTTGGGAGGGTTCATTTTTTACCCTACATATTCTAATATTTGTTTACCCCATAAAACAGTTTCTCTATGATGATGATGATTATTATTAATATTATTATTGGCTGTTGGTTACATGCACGTGTTTTTTTTTTTTTTTTGGAGTATTGGTATATTCATTAACAGCTATCTATAGATTTTGAACATATATTAGATGACTAATTCGTCGCCCAAACCTGAAACTATATTAAGGTGTATAATCTGTCACACATCGTCACCGTGAAGAGAAGTGACTCTATATATAAGTATCTTGTGTTGTGGGACAAAAATGGTAGTGTCGAGTGTTAATTCTATCAACTCATGTCTTGTACGTATATGATTTGTTAGAATTATGACAAGATTTAAATATTGCAAATGGCTCAATAGTTTAATTTTCATATTATGTTATTCTATTTTGAACTCATAGTTTTTTCTAAAAAACAAAATCTGCTGTTGCATCGAACAAGCTAACAACTTAATGCTCCCTCTTTCACACACTTGGTTGGATTCAGAAAAACTTGGTACTTTTGTAACTTTTTTTCTTTTTGTAAACTCACTACTAGATAAAAGAAATTATACATGAGTACATAGTGAAAGCAAGGCCCTTCCCTGCCGGTTCATGACTTCGACTACCTCCCTAAAAATTCCGTTGAAAGAATCGAGTGCAGATCATGGTACTTTTATGATAAATTTACTTTGTTTCAAATGATCATACAGTTTGGATTTTCATTTCTAATCAATTTATATTAAATGATATTGAAGCAGAAAAAGTAAAATATCAAGTGCAACTACTGTACTTTATGGGATTGTGCAGTCAGACATAATAAATTCAGTAAAATAATAATTTTAAGAGAAAAATAATAATTTTTGTGAAAATTTTAGCAACGAAATGAAAGAGATAGTACTTGTTGTGTATTAAAAATTAGGATACAATTAGTGTATCTAATAATTTTCCCTAAACTTCTTCATCATTTCACGTCGATATTGATAAATAATTTTAGCTAACATGCATACACGTTTTGTGAATAACTCCGGTTTTCTATACTTGATTAAGATGCCTGGATACTGTACATAACATGAAGGCGTAATGATTTTTTAAAAAAATAAAAAATGAAAAAGAAAGCGTTTTGGTCCAACCGTCCAAACTTGTAACAACCCGCGCTTATGGCATCTAAGAAAATCGTAATCACTAAGCTCATTTTGAGTTAAATGTTTTAAGTACTAAACAGCCAAAGTAGGACTTTACCAACTGGCCAAGATTATCAATTGATGACTTTATTTTAAAGTGACTAGACCAATTTTATAAGGGTTAAATTATAGGGGTTGCTTATCCCGAAATATAATAATCTAAATTATTAAAGGATTTAGCTTTTCTTATTGTTAAAAAAAAAAAAGTTATACATATATTCTCTTTTGTATGGTAGTCTTAATAAACTGATTGTGTTTGTATCGCGTGTAATTACCCCAAATGAATGAAAATAATGACCAAAGGCTTGACCATTTCGGTCCACAAGAATGAAAATATTGACAAATCTTTATTAAAATGGAGAGGGAAAATAACAACATAGTAGTGGTTAGGGAATTTCCCAAAGTCGATCAAACACGAGAGGGGTTGGAATTCCTACTTACCAATAATTTGTTTTAGACCTAAGATCGACCTGCAAGAGGGAAATACACTATATATACCCTCGCACTTAATGCAAATGATACATCGTGAAGAAAATTCTATATCTTCATACTTAGCTTCGAAATTAACTCTCTTTCTCTCTCTCTCGATCAGTTGATTATTTAACTTCAATTAATTTACATTACGTCGGGTGAAAAAATGAATCGTCCAGTAATCGGAATAGACTTGGGAACGACATACTCTTGTGTTGGGTATTGGAAGAATGGCCATGTTGAAATCATTGCAAATGATCAAGGCAACCGAACTACGCCGTCTTATGTGGCCTTTTCCGATCAGGAGCGGCTCATGGGCGATGCTGCTTGGAACCAAGCCGCAGCCAATCCTACAAACACTGTTCACGGTAATTGAAATTTTTTTCCGCTTTACATTGTGTGAATGCTCTCAAATTTTTATTTTTTTTTATATACTGTGGAGGCTAAAAAGCCTAGATTACATCATGATATCCGAAGATTTCCCAAACACAGACTATGAAGACCTTTTTATATCAAAAAGTGGTGAAAATCCACCTTTGAGCTCACATCGACATAACTTATCCCCTCTAATCTCGATTACAAACCTTAGTTAATCTTTTAGCCCACTACAAAAAGCAACCAATCTGTGATAATCACCATCATTTCAGGGTTCATCTTCCGAATCTGAACGCAAAAAACTTGTTTAGTTACAGCAATCATGCCCATATAGGAGATTTGGGCTCCATTTCTTTGCTCATTGTTTCATCAAAATTCTCAAAATAATCAGTTAATTGATTTTGTATCAAATTACTGAAGAATGCTCTCAAATTTAGAACTCCCTTTATCCCGAAATTATTATCCAGTTCAAGTTTTTATTTTTAGCATAAATTGAACTAAAAGTGAAGATTCAAACTGGACAATAATTTTGGGACGGAGAGAGTAATATATTTTTTCAAATAACAATAACTTTCATTAACTTTAATAGAATTCAGCCAATCCTGATTGATACAAAAATGTCTGCACATGTGAAATCTAGAAAATAAATATCTATTATTTGCTCATTTCTTTAAATTGTACAATTCGAAAGTGAAATGTTTCTGTGGGTTGATTGCTGTAGCATAGTTTGTTGTGTTTCAGATATAAACTTTGTCGTGTTATATTAAAAGGGGTGTTTGGTTCGAATATATAAATCTCAAAACACAGTGACTAAAAGCTACGCTTCAATTGCATTTAATGGATATGTTAATTAAAACTACATCATGAATTGTTGCATTTGCTGCGAAAATATCAAAACTTCCCCGCAATAGTGTTCTACGTACCTTACATAAAATTTCTCAAATCATATTACACACAAGACTCCCGAGAGACTGTGATATACGTTGCTGAAAGTTATATGTTTTTCCTTCTCCTTTCTTCTTTACCTGCAGATGCTAAGAGATTGATTGGCAGAAGATTTAGTGACGAGATAGTTCAGAAAGATATGAAACTATGGCCCTTCAAAGTAACTGCCGGTGCTCATGATAGGCCAATGATTGTGGTCACCCACAAGGGTAAGGAAAAACAATTCACAGCTGAAGAAATTTCATCCATGGTTCTAACTAAGATGAAGCATATTGCCGAGGGCTACATTGGGTCAACAGTTCGCGATGCGGTGATAACTGTCCCCGCCTATTTCAATTTCTCACAGCGTCAAGCTACCATAGATGCCGGTGAGATTGCGGGTATTAATGTTTTACGCATCATTAGCGAACCCGCAGCCGCTGCTATTGCTTACGGGCTTGATCTTCATACTGCTCGTAGTGGCATGAAAAACGTTCTTGTGTTTGACCTTGGAGGTGGTACTTTTGATGTCTCGGTTCTCACCGTTGAAAATGGAAACATTAAAGTCAAAGCTACCGGCGGTGACACTCACCTTGGTGGAGAGGACTTTGACGATCGAGTGGTACACCACTTCATCGCGGAATTCAAGAGGAAGCACAACAAGGATATGAGTGCAAACCCTAAGGCAATCAGGAGATTGAGAACAGCTTGTGAAAGGGCAAAGAGGATTGTTTCCTCTTCTCATCAGACACGAGTTGAGGTTGATTCCTTATTCGGAGGCATTGACTTTTCATCAGTTCTTACAAGGGCGAAATTTGAGGACTTGAACTCGGAGTTATTCGACAAGTGCATGGAGACGGTTGAAAAGTGTTTGATTGATGCCAAAATGGATAAGGATGCATTGGATGACGTTGTTCTCGTAGGTGGTTCGAGTAGGATCCCGAAGGTTCAACAAATGCTAAGTGACTTGCTGAATGGGAAGCAACTCTGCGGAAGCATCAACCCGGATGAAGCAGTTGCTTTTGGTGCAGCGGTTCAGGCAGCGATCTTGTGCGGCCAAGGTAGTGAGAAGGTCAAGGATCTTAAGCTTGAGGAAGTTACTCCCTTATCTTTAGGGGTTGGGATTGTCGGAGACGTAATGTCGGTAATCATTCCAAGGAATACCCCAATCCCGACCAAAGCAACAGAACGTTTCACTACTAGTAAGGATAACCAAACTTCCATAAGCTTTAAAGTGTACGAGGGTGAGAGGTCTAAAGCAAGTGAAAACAATTTGTTGGGTGAGATTGAGCTCGGCGGAATCCCAAAAGCTCCAAGGAGAGTCCCAAGCATTGATGAATGCTTTGATTTGCAAGCCAATGGCATCCTGAAGGTTACTGCCCGGGACCGGGAAACTGGTAAAGAGAAGAGAATCAGTATCAAATGTGGAAGGCTAATGAGAGATGAAATAGAGACGATGGTAAAAGAAGCTAAAGAGTATAAGGCGGAGGACGAAAAGCACATGAAGAAGTATGAAGCGCGGAATGCATTTGAGAAATACATTTGTGCAATGAGAAATAACATAAACAAGGGTACCGTCTCTTCTGCTAACAAAAAAGACGTCGCAGATGCGGTTAACAAGGCCTTTCAATGGTTAGATGCGCAGAATAAGCTTGCGGAAGTCAGTGAATATGACAAGAAGAAGCAGGAAATACAGGATCTCTTCATGCAGGTTCCATATAGGTGTTGATCAAGGCAGAAAAGAGCAATGATGCTAGCAGATATGTGTGTGATTTTTTTGTTTTATTTTTTATCCTTCTTCCATTTGGTTTGGTTTGAAGGTTGTAATAATCAAGACACATTTATGTGGTGCCTTACGATGTTGATTGATATCTAATTTTCTCTTTTCTTATGTTTCAATAAAACATTTAAAATCGTAATCTCTGCTTGCAATTGGTTGGACCATTGAACATCTAAAAACTCATAACTAAGGTGATCAATTCTGGTCGAAAACATTATTTAATTTTTTCTAATAGTCCCCTTATCTCCAACGTGATTTGAGCCCGTAACCTATTAGAGATAAAGAAAGCGTCTTATTACTAAACTTCATCTTGTTGTTTGGGTCAAAAAATTATTTTAGTTGGGACCGAAACTGTATTCATAACCTGCAAACTATATTCATGTGAATATTTAGTTTCTAATTTTAATTTTAATTAGCATCTCATAATCTACAATTTGACATACCGACCTTCTAGCATGTCTAAGGCCGAAGAAGCCATTTCAAGCCACAAACTTGTTTTGCTTCGAAGCGAAACGGCAGTTTTAACCAATCTGCAAACTATTCAACAAAATAACCCATCATTCAACATGGAAATGTGCAGGATGTATATCTTTCACAAATTTTACTGGATTTGTGTGCAAGCAGTTAATATTTTCATTTTTTGTATACTTCTCTCTTATTCTTGTACCAAAAAAAAAAAAAAATCTCTCTTATTAAATTTTGTAGAATCAAGGTATAAAGAGTGTAGTATTCTCCTAGACGTAAATGTACTAAAAGAGCCGTGACACATCACCTTCGTTTGCTACCTCAAACAGCCTTTCGGACATGACTTCAACTACAAAAGAAAAATCTATGGAAACTAGTCTAGTCTAAAATTGCGGAGGAAGAAAGGAACCCCCGATTTACGAATCTGCGAATATACACTATAGCCTAATGATCCCAGTTTACTTTTCTTTTCTTTTCTTTTTCTTTTTTAATTCATGGTCATTTTGGTTTTCCTTTCATTTATCATTTATGTAAGACAATCCAATAGGTATTACGTTATAAAATAAAAAACCTACTTGGATTCTCCGTGTTCTTTGGAGCAAGCTGACATATTTTTATAGAACAAAGAAATTGATAACGGAATTAAAAAAAGGGTCGCAGCCTGGTGATTATTTTGGATCCAATGAGAAAAGGCCAGCAATAATGCCAGCACAAATTTTAGCCTACAGAGCAAATTTAAAGCGAAAGGACAAATTTACCCACATTAACAATATCAATAGTTCTCATCTTTTCTTTTCTTTTCTTGGGATTAACATGATATCTTTCACATTAAACCCACAGCCGGTCTCCACCCGCTACACAGCAATTGAATTACCTCAACGATACAATTAGCAAGAACTTGTAAATTTAAAATTTTTGGAGGTTCAATATCGAAGAGGAGGCCTCACTTCCTGGGATCGGGTAGAGAACAAGATGGTGTAGGTTAAAATTTCATTACTCCATCAAAAGTTATGAAGATCCATATGCTTGCTGCTTTATTCGTGCCTGCAAATTTATATTTCTAAATTGCTTGAAGGTATGGAATTCATTAACAAAGTATTCTGAGAAGTAAATCTTTGGCCCAAAGTCTGAAATTTCTTCAAAGTCAAGGGGTTTGTTTCAATTTGATTAAAACAAAAAACACTTTCAAAAAGGGCACAAGAAAATCAATGAAGTATTTTCTTCTTTCCTGAGAAAATTTCAGAATTTTTTGTTTTTATTCGCGATGGCCAATGGCCATGTTGGAGGGAGAGGTGGAAGACGGCCGTAGAACTGACGGGAGGGACAGGCGAGAAGCAAAATTACAATGATATGCTAATAAGAAAAGAAATTTTATACGTGAGTACTTTTGTCCTTTTACTTTAGATTTGCTCTGGAGACTAAAATTTATGCTAGCATTAGTACTAGCTGCAAGAAAAATAGAAAACCCAGGATGAAGACAATTAAGACAAATTCCCAGAAAATGGTATATACATGCTAATCTGAAAAAGGCTTATTAAATAGTTTCTTTACACTTTTTATCGTGTCTATAATCATTGAAACTAAATCGGAATGAGTTTTAAGGATATTTATGTGGCTAAATTAAGCAGACAAAATTGATGACTTAGAAATTGCAATCTAATAGACTGTATATATCTAGATAAACCGAAAAGGGTAGTTTGGTCATTGTATAGTAAACCCTAAGAGTTAGGGTTTCTGTTGTATGTGTACATAAAGCCGTATTTGGATTTGGTGGAGGAATGAGATTGAATGGTTGCCATGTTTATGTGTGTTATCATGGTATTAGAGCTGGTTTTTCTTTTAATCATCCTTCGATCCTTTAATCATCGTCTTTTTCGTCCGTTGTAAAACCTGTTTTTGATCCACCGTAATAGGATAACTGCTGTTTATTTAATCAATCGCACTCCTTCCTCTGTTTTGAATGGCAAGTCTTTACGGCGAAACCCCCCCTCTTCAATATTTACGTACTTTTGGGTGTCTCTTTTATGTCCATAATCAAGCCGGGAGGGTGATAAATTTGTCTCGCGGAGTCGTAAGTGTGTGTTTTTGGGTTATTCTACTACTCAAAAGGACTGGTTGGTCTATGATATTGAGCTTCGGAAATTTTTGGTTTCTCGTGATGTCGTTTTTTGTGAAACCCAATTTCCTTATGCTATTTTACCCTCCGTTTCTGTGGAGCCTTCTCTTATTCTTGTTGATATGGGTCTGTTTGTTTTTCCTGACGACAACGATGATGTTCCGGTTGTGGCGAATCCTCAACCTGTTGCTCCATCTTCCGTTGTGCCTACTACGTTGAATACTTCTACTATCACTACTACTACTCCTGCTCCTGCTCCTGAGTTGTCTTCCGATCAGGATTCATCTCTGTCACCGGGTTCTTCTCTAGCTCCTCCTGAATCTTTGCGTCGTGGTATGCACACCAAATTTCCTAATAACGGCTTCGCGATTATGCTGGTCACACTGTCAGCTTACCCCCCACTTCTACTTCTCCTGCTTTGTCTTCTTCCTCAGGTACCCCTTATCCCATAACACATTATGTAAACTGTGCTTCTTTTTCACCCCGACATCGGGCTTTCTCGGCAGCCATTACTGCAGGTGTTGAACCTCGCACCTTTCATGAGGCCATGCAGGATAATCGGTGGAGGTTTGCCATGCATGCCAAAATCCATGCTTTGGAGAATAATTATACTTGGGATCTCACTTCCCTTCCTCCTGACAAGCGACTTATTTGGTCTAAGTGGATTTTTAAAATTAAGTATCGTGCTAATGGGATTAGATGCTTCTGTCTATGGGACTGTCCGGTCAAATTTGTTGTCTCAGGATCCATTGCCTACTGTTAATCGTGCCTACTCCCTTCTGGTCCTAGAGGACCGCCTTCGCACAATCTCTACAGCCCAGGATGAAGAATCCGTTCTCAGTTTTGCGATTCACTCCAAAAAGGCTAGTTCTCGGAGTCGTCCTTCTGTTTCTTTTCCTGCATCGCCAGCTGCTGAATCACTACCTCTTTGCACGCATTGTAACAAGACTGGTCATCTCGCCACCAGCTGTTTTGATTTGATTGGTTACCCTGAGTGGTGGGGGACTAATCGCAGGTCTGCTGGTAGTCAACCTGGTGGCCGGGGACGGGGTTTGGACCGTGGTTCTTCTTCTGCCCGTCAATCTGGTTCTGGCAATTCAGTTCCACCCGGTTCTGGTTCACCCGATTTGGGCAGCACTGGTCACGGTTCAATCTTGGGTCGTGGTTCTAGAGCCGGCTCGCCTCATGCTCATTCGGCTATGGTTCCTGGTTCTTCCTTCGCCGGTTCAACCTTAACCGACAGTGATAAGACCACTGTTACCGGAATTACTTCTGAGCAATGGCAAACTCTTGCTTCTCTCCTTCATAAAACTAAGTCTGTTGAACCGCTCTCTGGTAACCATTTTTCCAGTACTTGGATGTATGATTGTGGTGCTTCGCATCATATGACGGTTCTGTTGCCCAATGGAACTTTGACTTTTGCTTCTCAAGTCGGTGCGGTGACACTTAGTGCTTCTGTGATATTACAAAATGTCTTATTTGTTTCTAGTTTGCACTGTAACTTGATTTCGTTATATCATCTGTCAGAGGACTCTTTCTGTGTTGCTCAGTTTACTAATAACTTTTGTGTTATTCGGGACCGTACTACGAGGATGCTGGTTAGAGCGGGTGAGCAGTTGGGGGGTCTTTATTTCTTCCGGGAGGTTCCTGTTGTTTTTCTCCTGGGGGTTTGCCATTCCTACTGAAAGTTTCCAACCAATTAATTAACTCTCTGTACATATTCTAAGGCCCGATGTTCACAATTTCTAAACTATTAAATTCCATTTAAAGCAGCTAGTTCCAGCTTCTTTTCCATTTCCTTTGCCGTTTCTCGTATTTCATGTAGAATGCAAGAAGCAGATGCAGATGATGGTTAACTTTTAATGATACGACAGATGTTCTTCCATTCGATAACACTTGTTATATACTTCTACTATCACAAAATAATAGTCAAATTTGAGTTTTTACTTTTCAATTTGTACTAAAAATGAAAATCAAATTGGACGATAATTTAAAAACTGAGGAACTACTATTTTTTTATTTAAAAAAAGAAAAAGTTTTACAGTTTTTATCCCTCGACTTTATTGTTAAGTTTCACAGGTCGATCAATGACAAAGTCAATAGTAACTATTTCCTTGCCAATTTTCCGTCCAACGATTGTATCAGGTAGAAGATGGCTAAATTTATGGTCTACCGTCTTGTTCATTAATTGACTTACTAATGTCGATGACTCAGTCAAAACATACTTAAATGTGCTATTTCATTCATAAACTTTTAATAGTTTTGTTATCTTATGTAATTTATAGGTATTTTTTCTAGTATTTATTTTAGCACTAGAAATGCTTCTTTTCCGTACTTATTAAGTGGGAAAAAAAAAACCATAGTCACTACCGTAAAAAATGAATATTGCTTTCAGTTAATGTGACTAACAGGGAAATATAGGGAAATGATTAGATATATTTAAAAAGAAAAATATTATGCAAATTTTTTGGATGTATATTTGAGTCTTTAGTTAAAAATAAATTTAAGAATAATAATAATAATAACAATTTCAACAAATAAAAAAAAAAGAGAGAGAGAAAGAGAGACGAGAGAAAGATTCCGTCGAAGGCTTCGTTTACTTACATTAGTCGGCGACAAAGTCGACGTGTGATATTTTCCTTCGCATATTATCCTTTCTTGTAACAAATACATAACGGCAAGTTTCGAGCTTCCCTAGTTGTTCGTCAACTTGCCAATCTCGATAACTAACTAGACAACATACTTAAGTATACTATTTTCTCAATATAATTTAATTCTTTCAAAAGTTTTAAAAGTTTTATGATAGTATTTAATTATTGTGAAGTCTTTTTATGTATTTATTTTCATGAAACAAATTATTCTGCTTCTCCAAACTCAATATACGACCAAAAAAAAATCGTTAATAACATATTCTCTCCAGTCCTTAATATAGAGTATTTTGATTTGTCTTAAGTTTCACCTAATACGTATTTTTGATTAACAAAACAACCTTAAAAAAATTTTATAACAATCAAGACATGCAACACAATGAATGTGAAAATATATTTTTAAGATTTTTTGTCAATTAAAAACATGTACTAGATGAAACCTAAAATAAATCAAAATGTCTTATATTAAGGACAGGAGGAAGTAGAAAGTAGGGAGAGGAAATGAGATTTATTTAAACCTAATGAAAAGTCTTTGGACTTGCTTCGAGTTCTTGGATCTGGTAAAAAGGATAAATAATCAAAGCAATAACAGTTCACAAATATAGAGGGAAAAAAGAATGAACATTAAATACATGGACATCTTCATCGACCTATAGAAGTAGACAGAAACATCAACATTAGGTTATGTTTCTTGGCAATGTCTTCTCTAGACTCCAATTACTCAATTTTTATCCGTCGACTTTATTCTTACGCTACACAGTTTTTCAAAATATTTCTAAAAATATTTTATTCTTGAGCGAAGTTAATCAGTATTATTGTTATAATTTTTATTTTTTTTCATGCATGTGTGGTTTGATGGATCTTTTTAAGGATATATTTTTATGTGTTTCGCTGATTTTTGGCTTAAAAAATTATCTGGTATTTGATCTTCTTGAGGTTCTCATTTTCAAGAACGTGAAAGATCTCAAACAAATTTCCAAAGTATGCCATAAATTTGAAAAGAGATGCGACAATGTTTATATGAATGCTACAGTTGTAATTTTTTGAAGTTTTGCAATTAATAAGATAAGATTAGAATGTAAGCGCCAAAGCCCAAAATGTAGTAATGATACCAGCAGCCCAAGAGTTTGGCGAAATAGGCCCAAATTTGAAATACTACTAAAACACTATAGATATATGTTTGGAGGGAAAATCTCAAAAAACAAAAAGGTAAAGAAATGTCGCGGAGACGCCTTAGAATTGTGTGTTCTTCTTCCGACGACGACGAAGACATCGACGTCTCCCTTCAACCGCCGGAGCCGGCGTCGGAACCACCACTCTCTCACCAAATTCCACCCATTCTAGTTGATGATGACGAAGAAGAAGTACGAATCGACCAGATTTCCGACGACGAGGTTGGGATTACTCTTCAAACCATGAATCTCAGCTCCGCCAATTCAAATTCCAATTCCACCTCTGAAAACGACAATCTTTCCCGCCTTAATCCCAGCATTACCCAGCCAACCCCTTTCCACATTTCAGATGACGAGATGGATGACGTCTTTCCCGACCCTGGCCCAGTAAACCCTTTTAATTACGGGAACAATCCTGTTTATGACGGAATTAATGCGATATTGCGGAAAATGGGGCTAGGGCTGAAGAGGGAATGGTTGGAAGCTTGCATTGGAGCCCTTCCAAGTTCCATTCAAGGGTTTCTAGGTCTTGATGATTCTCAAAAGGCTAAGCTTTGCTTTGAGCAGTTTTTATTTGCGGATATGAATCACTGCGGCTCCGGAGTTCTTCCAAGGGATGTGCATAAATTGCATTTGGTTGATCTCAAAGGACCCTATATTTTGCAGGTGCGATTTTGGTTAAAAGTTTGTAAATTGCAATCTTGTTAGGTTATTCATCAGTAATTGAATACTCGAAAATGCCATTCTCCATTGAGGATTTTACTTGTATTGTGTTATAAGGTGATTAAACTTATTCCCATACTTGTGCCGAAGGGATGAAATAATAATTCATTCATTCAGTGTTAGTTGTATACTGTTTGGACTGATTGGAGCTGCCGGAGTCTGTGTTATGTCTTTTGTTAATCAACTAATTTAGAGATTAGGGGTTTATTTTGTCCTTTGTTTTTTGAGTTATGACTTCTGGGTGTTTGGTTGGGGGTGAGGGGAAAAAATAAATTGTTGATCTGTTCTATCATACATGCATTTAGAATGCTTGCAACTGTTGGAGTTTGGTTTTGTAGTCTAGAAAGACTTTCCGGAAGTAATCTTACTGTCATTTGGTCGTTTTGTCTAGGTTGATGAGATGGTAAATATCAGTTCTCCACTTCGGACCAGGTATCAGAAAGCAGCACCAGGGTCTAAGAGGTGCCTCAAACTATCAATGACAGATGGTGTTCAGCGTGTTTTTGGCATGGAATATAGACCAATAAAAGATCTTGATGTTCTTTCTCCTGCTGGAATGAAGGTTCAAACTTATACTGTGCTTCATTTTATTAGTTAAGATCTTGAAAAATTAATGCTATTCATAGTAGCCATTTTTTTTGTCTTTTGGTCATTATACTTACCAGAATTTTTGCGGAGTATACGCTTATATTTTAGGTACTATTTTTAAAAATCTTTTTAGGTCTCATGTAGCCTTTCAGAAATAAAGCATTGAGTACATTTGTCAATCATTTGTTGACTTCTGTTAGAATGAAAATTTGATATCAGCATGCACAAAAGTAATATGCTTTGGGAGAAGCTTGTTTTGTTTTACATTTACGCCAGCACTGGCTTATATTTGTGCTTTTTTTTTTCCTATATGTAGCTGTTTCTGATCTTTCAATCCTGTTACAGTTGCATCTACTCAGAAGTATATTTTTGAAATTTAAATTGATCTTTTTTTACAGGCTCACATTACTGAGCCTGGCAATTTAAAATGTGTGTGGTATTGATTCAGGAAAGTTATGTCTTATTTTCTGATGTAGACCGCTGCTTCTCATGCCAGATTGCACTTTGCAATGTTTGCGTAAGGCGGGGTATTCTGATGTTGGTTCCTGAAGTTATTGAAGTTTTAGGTGGGAAAGTTGAGGAGTTGGATGCGGCAAAACAGAGATTAGTCCATGAAATAGAAAAGCCACCAAGGGGCAGAAGGTATTCAAAATATCATCATACTTAATGCGTGTTTAAATAAATATTCACTGAATCCACTTCCATTTGTTCATCTTTTTTATGAAGTTTGATATGACCATGTTTTACGTATCCTGTTTATCATTACCATTGATCTCCATGAATTTGAGATTGTTTTCTCCATCATGAACCTTTTTTTCTTCCCCTTTCATACTCTAAAACTAAAGGCTGGCTATTTGTTGGTCGTTGACCTTCATATATAGATATTAAGGGAAAAGCAAAAGAATTGTTTTGACTTGATAAATGTCTTCTCCAATTACTCAATTTTTCTATCAGTTCTGATCTTGGGACAACTAGTTTATACTTATAACACACGTGTAAGATATTTAAACAGTTCGGTGGGGGTTATTCATATGGAAGGCTCATGTGAAACAGTTTTTGGTTTGCTATTCTATGAGTAAAGCCGTGACTCTATCCTAAATCTGAATCAGGGCAGGGATGGTTCAGAAGTTAAGTGAAAGAGCTGCTCTGGCTGCATGGCCACCTGAAACCCTCAATGCACAAGACCCGGTTAACCATTCACAAACAGCAACAATGCGTTTTCAGGTTCACGTGCCAGGTTTATACATCCGTTTCTCTGTGGGAGGAAACAAAAGTGCAAATTATAGGAGCATGATTTTTGAGTTAACATGTATTGGTCATTTATGTCCTGTCTTGCTGTGAACAGGAGTCCTGTTAATGCAAATTAGCATCCTTTAGTACATGAAGTGAAACAGATCATGCCTTTGTAACCTTGATTTCTTGTTTGACAGTTCCTTCCTTTTTTAACAGTCTTGAATCTGTATAAAAGGAGATCAGGAAAACATTTGATCCCGAAAAAAAAAGACAACATGAAAAGAATATAAAGCTAAAAGTGGAGTTCTGCAAAACTAAATGTATAATGTTGTAAGACTTGGGCCACTTTAAATTTTGGAGATTGGCTCTGTAGCATTCCTATTCTCTCACTGTTGATGTCAAACTAATGTCTTAATGTTTCAATTCCTTGATCCTCTCATTAATATCAATGCTGTTTTTGAGTATTTATTGAAAAAGAGAGTGTTGAAGAGCAGAGATATAGTTCCTGATGTTGCAATGATTTTGATGAGATGTGTTGTTTATGATTAACATGTGAACCTTTTTGTTTCCCCATTTTTCTCCTTTGGTGCTTATATCTCCTTAGCTTTCTTATCTTAGCCAAGGTTGCATGGCATCTTCCACTAGCATGTTGTGATATTTAATCTACTTTCTTTACTCAGAGAGTCCATCTGGTAGCTGAGGTAGTCAGGGGTATGCGTGGTGTTTATAATTATATTCTGTTTTACATCATGTAGGAAATTTATCTGGCATTCCTGCTAGTGATGGGATCGAAGAGTACCAAAGAGGAAATGTTGAAACTAATCAGTCATCTATGGCTGGCACATCCTGGGTTCCTTTTTCCACTGAGCAGGGCCAACCTGATGGTAGCATGAATATAGAAGTAAACAGCATCCACGTGCCCAGTGAAGAAGCACAGCCTAATATAGAAGGAGATGCAGATGTCCAAGAATTTCAAATGATTGATCACTTTGAACCCCCTTATATGTTAACTGGAGAAAGAGAATCCCCATTTACTTATCTGGCAAGTTTGTCAGCTAAGTGGGCTACTATGAAAGACACTGTCTCCAAAGTCCAGGGGAAAGTGAAGGTATATCTGTGGCTAATATAGTCATTGGTCTTAACATTTTGATCTTGTGCTTGTACCTGACAATTCTTAATGCCTATATGCTGCCATGCTTCTACAACCTGGGAAGTTTTAAATTGATTCTGGTTGATTTTTATAAATTCTGGTTACGGATGTTGGTATTTGACCATGGGAACGTTTTCAGAAGCGTAGAAATTGCCTTGCTCGTGTTAGGACTTAGGAGAACACATGATTGTAATTTTGGGGGTTGGAAGCCTTGAACTTGTGTTCATTGTTTATGCTTAATTTTATTAGAGAAGTGGAATGTCTTTCATTTTTGGTTACCAAATTTATCGTCAACTTTACGTTTTGTCTACTTCTTTTGGTCTAACGTGCTATCTTGCCTCCTATCTTGCTAGATTTTTGGTCTGTGTAATTCTTGGCATGATTAGTTCCTCTGTATAGTATACACACCAGCAATGTAATTTGGAATCGTACCTTTTTTGGTTATTAACTCCCTAGTATATGCATCTGATAAATGACTTCATCTCATTATGAATGTGTAGTGTTTCCTTACTGGTGTAAAGGGATTCCAGTTTAAAGGAAGAACCACCTATGAGCTGCAAGCTTATATAGATGATGGCAGCCTAATCACAGAGATTTTTATTGATCATAATGTAAGTTAATATATTTAGAGCTTAAATTTTTTGGGTGTCGTGTATTGAATTGTTGATGCTGCAGGTTGTGCAGAATAGAATAGGCTATTCCCCTGAGGAGGTTAGCGATGCAGTTACTTCTTCAGACAGCAGCCAAGCCAGTCAGATGAGGGAGATATTGAAACAGTTTCAGTTTTTCTTGTTAAATTTTGAGGTAATATGCTTCTCATCATCTAGGAGCACTAACGTTGGTATTTAACTACTCATTTTCTAAATCTTCTGCTGTTCAATACATAGTAAAGGGTATGTATTTCTAAGAGTTATATTCATTTTTTGGCATTAAAAAATTTTCTTCCTTTTTCCTACTTGAGTTTTATCATTTTCTAAGAAAATCTTCTGTATGGTTACAAGATTTTCCAAATTTGAGAGTACCAAGGGAGAACCAGAAACTGAATGTTTACACAAATGTGGGGTTGTGGAGAATTTGCTTCCAATTTCTTAATGCCAGATTCTTTGAATTAGATCTTGAAACTATGTTCATCAGAGCTAAAGGTAGTGCAGATTTGCAATTTTTTCGGAAACTGAGTATGCTTGACAGTTTGTGCTTTGATATCTGATATTCCATATGCTGAGATTCAAGGCTCATCTTGCAAACTTTGCCTGCACACATCTAGACAGATTCCACAATGCATGTCAACTTTTAAGCTAAGACCTCTATTAAGTTCTCCTAAGCATTTTTTTAATAATAACCATCTTCATAAAAGGCCATTTTCAAATAAAATCTTCATAAAAGGATCAAAATGGATGCTATGTATAATTATGACGACTGAGAGCGTCTGTGAGTAAAGTTTTAATAATAACCATGGAGATTGTCATGGCTTTTATAGTTCCCTTATGGAAGTCTTGATTAGGAATCCCCAACTACCAAATGATGAGCTAGAGCCAAAAAAGTTCTCTTGATAGAGTACTTGCAAATTACTGAAGCAAATTATCTATTCATCTCCTGGTGCCAGGGAACAATGCTTGTTGAAATGACTGCGGAATCCTCATTGCATGTAGCCATCGAAATGGACCAGGGCTGCTCGGTTTCTGATGCCTGGTCGCTGCTGCAAAGACTTAGGTCGTCTGCATCTACTCAAAGACGACAGAGCTCTCATTTGAATGCTACCAACCAATACCCCTTGATTTGAAGAACAGAAGGTAAGGCCGTAGAAACTGATGAAAGTATCTTATGCTATTTAGTAGATATGGAGAATGTAACCATTCACCGCTGAGTATCCTGTAATTCACTCTGTGTATTAATTAGTCCAAAACTCTCTAAAGCATATGGTAACAGTATTTTCTCTAAGCATATCATTCAATGCACAAACTGAAAAGGTGAACAGCAGACCCCAATATCAAACAGAATAATGAAATACAGAAGAAAATGAAATAAAACTTATATGAACTTATATAGTCATCTCAAAAAGGCTTTATCCTGTTTATTAATAAGGGCAACTGCTGCAATAAGGGGGCTTTGGGAGAAGTGATTGGGACAGTGGAGTTCCCACACGTGTGATCAGGGAAACTAACTTCGCGGTTGATTAATCAGCCTCCTTGGCATTACAGGGCCTCTAGTTAGAGCTATATGTTGGGCACAACATGATATATCCTTGGCTTCTTTACCATAGTTTTGAACTGTTTTCCTATAAATACAGCTAGGTTGTTGGTTTTCTATCTGGATATGTACACGTCAAAAAATGACAATAACAAAAATGAAAAGTTCTGCTCTATAGTGAATGAGGATTTATTTCTTTCCGGTTACTCTCTTCTTTTTTTTTTTTTTTTTTGCCGGGGGAGGGATGGTCAGAGATAAGTATCCTAGGAGAAGGAATAAAAGCTGACTGATTGGTTTTCTGCATTGGACTTATTGAAATACTAAAATGAAGCAGGCAGGAAAGAAACCCCAGCATCTTAGCCATAAGTACTCAATAATTGGTGGTATAATGAAAGTAAAAGACAAGACCCTTTAAGGAATAATACTTGGAAGGGGAGGGAGGTACAACGTTAAATGTTATGCAGTTGGAATGCAGGTAATTAAAATCCTGAAAATAGTACGAAAAATTTCATTGAGTTCTGGGACCATGGATGATGAATTGATGATGATTTGATTTCTTGGAAGATTGAAACCATGTACGGCGTACTACCTTATTATCATTGCACCTTCGATTAGACTTCAATAAATAAATAAATATAATAGTAACACATTAGAGTTCTGAATTTTATTCATTTCTCTTAGCCCTTTTGAACATGGATTCAGAATTCAGATTAATTCAACTAGCCTTGGAACTCAGAAAGAATGGGTTAGTTATCTTAATCTCCTGTCAACATATTTCATATACTCTATCTGTTTTTATTTATTATAAGATATAAATTTATTTAAATTATTATTAGTACCGAGAAAATATGGTCTATTCGTGACAATTGAATATTGTTAGAAATTGTCAAACAAAATTCACACGTCATTCCAAAATGGCTTGCTTGTTCAGTAATTATTTAATCTAGTTGATTTATCAAGCTATACTTAGGTTTAATATATATATATATATATATATATATATATAAAGTTATATAGCCTGCTCCTGTGGACTCTTTACAAGGAAATTTAATTATTTTACTCCGATGAAATGAACTCTAGAGAGCAGTATTGGCCACTTTTCTTCCCCCCACATTATAATGCTCCTATAAATCTCCTGGTGCCTATTACATTTGATACTCCGGTTTTGCCATACATCACAATCTAAATCTAATGTAGTTGTAATTTATGTTTTATAAATAAAATAAGAAGGAGAATCACTTGATTCCAAAATTATTCCTTTTGTACAACATTCCAATAATTTCTTCCATTTCAAACTTTATTATTTAATTTTGAAGATGATAATCAGGGTTCTCTCTTAGTTTCCATCATGTTAAATACTCAGCTTTTACTACTGTCATTATCAAAAAAAAAATTTATTCTTCAAAAAACACCGGCCATGTGATGAGAAAATCTTCTCCCCTAATGAGAATCAATCTCAAATTTACTCCTAAAAATCCCTGTATTTTTATTTTTCTTTAAGACCAAAGAAAGAAAGAAAGAAACTAATGATTTTGTGGAGAAGTGGTGGTGGGGGAAAAGCAAAAGAAATGATTGGGATTTATGAAATTGAGAGAGAAGAGGAGGGGAATGGCTGGAAATGGGATCAGATTGATGGGAGATACCAAATGAGGCAACAATCAAACATCCCTTATTTAGATAAATCTACATCGATCCACACCACTTTGGAGTTTGGAATAACTGAAATACATAATGTAACATATATATATATTTACATACGTATGCCATTTGGCAAACCCACATTTCATTTATTTTATTTTATTTGCCATTATTAAATTACAATTCCCAGAAAAAGCAAAGATAAAGATGATCTAGCAGTACGTACCTGACTGATTGCCTGCTTCATTTTAACCCTATACGACACACTTAAATGTAACTATAAATATCCTGCAAATATTAATGTCCGAATTCGAGTTTTTTTTTTTTTTTGGTTTCTTCACTCAAGGATGTTATCAAGTCAAGAGCTTTTGCAACGTCTTGGCGTTGCATTTACCATTGATGAATAATTAGAGTAAATTATAAGTATTTATTTACACAAACCCTTGTCGAGAGTTTAATTTTCTGTTATACAATGATACTGCCTTCGTCTCACAAAATTAGTGCACATTAAGTTCTGAGTTTTATACTGTTTTTTTTTCACAAATTTGAAAACTCAATGTGGACTATTTTTTCGGGACCGAGGTGGTACATAAGATCTAATGTCTGATATTCATAGAATGAATTATTCTAAAATCCATATGGGAATAGGTTAGAAAATGATGTGATACAAATATGCAAGTGGACTAGTCACTTGCAGTAAGAAATGTTGTTATGTTTTCTAACTGTCACATCATCATTCGTTAGAATATTTCATTGCAAGTGTAATTACTTTTGAAAATTTTTAATATCTACAAAATCATCCTTCACGCATACTATTTTTAATAGGGTTGTATACACCTCGAGCTTGTTTCTTTTTCTTTTCTTTTTTTTTTAGAAAAAAGGCTGATTTCTTTGAAAATATAAGTATGAATCACTACTAACTCGTTAGACGGTCAAATTTTTAGTCCTTTATTTGTTTGTCAGTACTAAAATAAAATTTGTTCGTGGAAGAGAAGGATAAAAATTAACAAAAAAAAGAAAAAAAGTGGTTTTAAGCTAATCTTAAAAGGTGATGATGATGAATGAAATGAATTGATGAAGATGAAAGGGGGCCAGGCAGAAACAAGATACAAGTTGTGAAGTTGATGAGCATACAATATATATAGAAGAAGGGGCAAGCATATGGATTCATTAATTGGGAATTTATAACCACCACCCAGTAAAGTGGCAGTGACGTTATATATAGTTCTAATAATTATTTCTTCTTTTCATCTCCTTTTACACCAAAAAAAAAAAAAAGAATAATAATAATAATAAAGATTTTATTGCGAGAGTTTGTTTTTCGAAAATTACTTATTTAATTATTTAAAATTTATCGAAACTGTGAATTTAAATAACAGGCATATTATCATATATAAGTGATTTTATGTTTTGTATTTTCGCTATCTCAAGTTGTATGCTTTAGTCTATCATTTTTTTTTTTAATCTGATGAAAAGAATTATTAAAATGAGACGGAGAAATAGAGTAGTAAACAGATAAGAGAAAGAAAAGAAGAAAAAGACGTTATGTGCGTAAGTGTGTGAAAGCAACAGGAGCCTGCATGTCAAAATACTCCACACTCTCACTGTTGTTCAATAACAGAATATCATTTCAATTCCTTGCTGGCTGTCCCATCTCTTATATTACAACTTTATTATATAGTTGAAAAAAATTAAAATATTCGTGTATCCCATAAATTTTTTTTGCTAAAAATAATGTCTTCTTCACCACTCAATTTGGTCCCACTTCTTGGAGATGGTAATTATTTCAAGCCCTTTTCTTTCAATAATTTGTGTTGTAGTAATAACTGATAATAATATCTGGCAATCACAACAAGTCGTCCAATTATTTTTACATTTATTTCACTCTGCCCCTTCCGTTTTGATTTGAAAATCCAATTCAATTTCTGATGAATCCAATTCATATGTAGTAATAACTGTGAAACTATTCGTACGATTCATCAAATTATTATGAAATTTGCAAACAGTTTTTCGTCCCAAAAAAATTATATATTTTATTGTTGAAACGATTTTGATGCAATAAACAGGATTCGAGGCGGAGAAAATACCTGATTTTTCTTTGCATTTCAAACAAATTAAAAATAAATGTACCTAACGTATGAACAATTTTTTAAATTATAAGGTTGAAGAACTTTTAGAAGATGCAAATTGTATACGAGGAATATATTCACATTCTTCTCTATTCTCCAACTCCGTGACAGCACACACTTCTATTTCAGACCAAGCACGAAGTTCCGAAAAGGCAAATGTTGATCAATCTCTTCTGCCAATCTCCTAACTAACGTTTTTAACCTTATTATAGCCAGCTTTTAGCCAATATTTTGTTTGCTTCATCGCAAAACTCTATAATTATAAATGTCTCATATATATGTGCCCGCGTACTCTTTCGGATTAGCTGTCTAACTTTTATGCGTTGCTTAATGATATATTATCGAAAGATTAAGAGTTCGAATCTTACAAGCCGTAAAAATAAAATGCTTCCACTAGCATTACTTTTAGCACTTTCTATAATATATGGTTTGTAAAAGGAGGAAAAAAGACAAAAAGAAAAAGAAAAAGTTTGATAAATGAGAAAACTGTACAAGAGACAGATAAAATTGACCTTTCCCTAGCAAGGAGGGGAAGTGAATTGAGATGTGTGGGGTTTGGTTTTACTGTCTTCAATCCAGACATATTTCTCTCCCATTGGGTTTACGTTATATCACCCAGCAATGAAAATAATGGAAAGCATCATCATGAAATATATAGACAAATTACCACAATTTTTTTTATAAAAAATAAAAATAAAAATTATGTTATATGTATGGCTCAAATTTTCATTTTGGTGCTCCCATCAATTCATCCACCCGTGATGATTAGTTGATGAGATCAACATTGTTGTTCTAGCACCCTAGAAAAAAAAAAAAAAAAAAGTCAACTCATCATCAACCCCCAAAAAACAGAAATCAATTTTATAATTCTCATAATTGCATAATTCCCAGAGAATGATTTGAAGTTTGAGATGTACTATACTACAATTAAGAAGAGAAAAAAGAAAATTTAAAAATAGTTTCTTCCATAATACATCTCTCTTTCTCTCTCACACACTCACACACTAGCTATATCACTCATCACTTGCACTTCTTCTCACTTCTCTCTTCCTTGGCTTGTGCTGAATGGTGACCCTCTCATGGAAGGGATATCATGTGTTATGTTGGAATCTTCTTAATTATGTGTAGGGTCAACTTTTTCCCATGAAGATGACTTAGCTTAAGCTAGCTTTCAAATTAGCTTTTTTTCTTAGTACTAATTATAATTAAGCCCCCCTTTTGAACTAAGATTGAAAGGTGACTTAAGCCTTAGTTTAAACAACTAAGTATACTTTAGACAAGCACACCAAGACAAGAGAAAAACAAGGTTTTCCCATGCACTTTTTTAATTGTGGAACCTCACTACTTCATCATGTGGGATGGAAGATCAAAGAAATTCTACTCGTCCCTTTTCAAGTTGAATAAACATGCATCATGTCTTAAAAGGCACTCATTCTCCTCCATTTATCAAAAAAAAAAAAAAAACACACACACACACACACACATTCTTAATTTCCATCATGTTTGCAAAACCTTTTCTTTCCCCAAATTATAGGTTTTTCCTTTAATTCGACACTTTACTTGCAGTTTTGTTTTTAAGAAAAAAAAGATTGTATGTATATATTTTAAAAAAAAAATTGAAACAGAACTCTAATTTTGAGACAGAGTGATATATTGACTTAACTTTTGGGCAATGCCTTTGTAATGGAGGCTCAAACACCAATTTTGATTTGCTATATAAACATTAATTCTATGTAAGCTATATAGGAGCATAAAAAATGAATACGAAATAAGGAATCTTTTCTAAAGGCTTTCTTGGAATTCGAATTACTAGTATATAAGACCTTGAGATTTAGCATTGGGATCTGAAATAAACCCATAAATAAACATTATTTGGATCTAGCTTATAGCATTTGGCATATAAACAAAACGATATGAATCTAGACTAAATCAATAAAATTTATATCTGTTTGAAAAAAGCTACTCCCTCTATTTTAAAGTGTAAGTCGTTTTAACTTTGGAAAAATATTTCAAAATGTAGGTCGTTTTAAGATTTCAAGGCACATTAAAGACTTTGCCCCCAATAAATTATGCTAACTACTTTTTATCTAGTTTTGGTTATAGTTCCAAAACAATTAATGAAGGACAAAATAAACATTTAACACATAAATTAATCATTAAATGATTGTCTCCTTAGTTTAAGTGTAGAGACTAAAAAGACTTACATTTTGAAATGGAGAGAGTGCTTAAGCAATTTAATAAAGAAATCTTATGTATGGACAAAAGATGATTAGTACACTACTCTAACTAGCTTCAGCATCACTTGAGGATTACACACATCAAAGAGTACTTTAGTCCGCAAAGCAACAATTAAAAGTGAAGGAAGGTACGATAATTAAATGGAAGAAAAACAAAAAAAACAACTAATTTAATTAAGAATTTTGTCCACATTACACCCCCAATAATAAACAAAATGAAAAATTTAAATACATCATTCACTATTCTCTCTCTCTTTTTTTCTTATGTTCATTATTTTGGAATTTTTGATTGAAACTCTCCTCTCTTCTCTCCTTTTTTTGAATTTGTCTCTCTCCTCTCTCTCTCTCTCATTTTATTTATTTTCTCAAAACAATAAATAAATTTATAAAAATATACCAAAGGAACCCACTTTTACCTTACAACAACCCCCCAAAATTAACTAAAAAAAAAACCGCAAAAAAAAAGAAAGAAAAAAAAAAGAAGAAGAAAAACACCATCCTTTTTCCCCTATGTGTTTTCAATTTTTTTTTTTTTTGAAATATTTTTCCTAGTTCCCACCACCCCCATGATAATCATCCCTGCAAAGTTTCATGCCTACCGTTCTTCTGTCCCACTGATCCTTTCATCCTTTCTGACATTTTTTCCCTGCAAAAATCTGTCCCACTTCCCAAATTGCCTCCTCAGTCCCTTTTTTTCTTCCCTCCCTCCATTGCTGTTTCATTTCCTTTTCTTTTAACCTCGGCCGCTTTTCATTTGTACTCTTTCCCTTCCCCTTTTCTTTTTCTGGGCTTCATCAGCTCAATATATTGCCTTTAAATAAATAAAATAACAACTGATCAACTGTTTGCCGCCACCGAAGTGGGCTGTTTGTTCGTCACAATTTCGTATCCTCCGCCTTCATCCTCCTCATCCTCGTCGTCCCCGTCGTCGTCGTGATCATTCTCGTCCATGTTTTCGCTGTCGGGATCCTCCTCCATCGCCGAATCCTGCTGTTGTTGGGCTTGCTGTTGGTTTTCTTGTTGAAGGGGCCATTGCTGCTCCGGCCTAGCCATGATGGGCGCCGCCATTGATGAACTCTCCGGCTTGGAGGAGGCGGCGACATTCGCGCCGCCGCCGAAGTTATACGTAGTACTGGTGGTGGCGCCGGTGGGGGTGTCGATTTTGGCCTTTTCCTTGTACAAAGCATCTAGCTGGTGGAAATAGGGACACGTCTTCGAATCCTCGGGTCTCTTTTTGTTGCTTTCCTTCACCTTCTTGAAGTACTTGTTGATGTTTTCCCACTTCTCTTTGCATCTCTTGGCGTTTCTGTTGTACCCAAGCTTCCTCATTCCCGCGGATATTTCCTCCCACAGCGGCCCTTTCGGCCCATTCTCCTGATACTTCACGTCTAGATTGGTCCGTAGATTGATCAAAGCTTGAACTTCCGATTTCGGCCACCGCGACGAACTCGGCTGCCCGTAATTCTGAAGCCCGTTATCCGTCGTCGTTTTGGGTGTGGTGATCTCCATGTTTCTCGGTGCTGCCTGAATTGTCTGCTGTGGTGGTGGTGTAGGAATGGATACCGGAACTATTTGTTGCTGAGGTGGCATTTGAACTGGCGTCACCGCCGGAGGCGGCGGTGCTGATGATGACAGCGGAGGAGGAGGAGGAGGAGGATGATTATTATTATTAGAGACCTGAAGTTGGACAGGAAGCTGTATTGGATTCGGATTCTGTTGGTTTTGCTGGTCGGTGATCTTCTGCAAGAATGCAATCACCGCCGCGTCTTTGGCGGCGGCCATGGATCTTTCTTGGACTAAGAGATCGTGTTCCCGGTTCATCCTGGCCATTTCTTGTACCCTCCAAGCTTCTTCCCTGATCATCCTATCACGCTCCCGCTTCTCCAGCGATTCCAGAAACTTCTTCTGCAATTCCTCTTGCTTCACGATCACATCCTTCATTAGCCTCTCGAAGTAGTCTTTCCATTTCCTCTTCCTCCCATGCCGCCTCCCGATCTCCTCGTCCGAGGAAGTCGACGACGACGAAGAGTTCGACAGCATTCCCGATATCACATTCATGTGGTGGGACGGCGGGAAATGGTGGTGGTGCACATTCTGAAGAGGTGGCGGAGGATTCATGCCGATGGCGGCGGCGTTGTTGGCCGCCGCCGACGTCGGAGGCGGTTGCAATGATGAGAGTGCGGGAATATTGTTGGGAGTAGCATTGGAAACATTTTGGGAAACGAGATTCTGAGCGAAACTTACAGGATTTGGGGAGAGCGGTGCGGATGAAACAGTACCGTGATGAGCTGTTGTTGTTGTCGGAGGATTTGAAACTGCCGCCTGCACCACCGGCGGCTGCTGCATTTGCATCGGGGAGGCCAACGGCGGCGGGCGAGGCGTCGGCGTCGGAGGAAGCTGTAAAGCGGAAGGATTCGTCTCCAAAGCCTCCAATTGATCAAAGAAACGATACGTCTTTCCGTCGGCTTTTGAAGCTCGGCCTTCTTTTGTTCTCTTGTGGTATTTGAATACATTTTCGAACTTCTCTTTGCACTTCTTCGCTGTCCGGTGATATCCCAGCTCAGCCATTTTCCTGCCAACAAAAAAAAAAAAAAAAAAAATCAAAAAACCATATTAGATGAAATATTGGATCCAAAGCCCCTCTCCAAAAAAAAAAAAAAAAAAAAAGGAGCATCTCCATTTCTGGAATTTGGTCCCCATCTGAATTTGTTAAACACAAGCCCATAAAATAAACAAGAGAATTAACTTCTAGAGAGTGACTCCTCCTAAGTAAAAAAACAAGGTAATAAGAATTAATTAAGATTCAAAGTACAAGATAGTAGAAATGAATGATGGAGCCTCTAAGGAAGGTTAAAAAAAAAGGTAAGAAGAAAATGTTAAAACACATTTTTATCATGGGAAAAAACCATCACATAATTATCATTCAAGTACTGCTACTAACTTAATTACTGCTGGGAAGCTCTCTTTTCCAAGAAGCTTTCATTTCATTCAGCTGAATTGTGTAAAAGTAGTAGTAAGAGAAGTACTTACTTTGTAGTACTACTACTAGTAGTATCAAAAAGATACAGATAGGATTATTATTATTATTATTAACTCAGTTGGACTAATGGAAGCAAAAATAAAAACTGATTTAAAGAGGGAGCAGGAAAAAAAAAATATCAAGGAAATCATACAAGAATTTATCTGGCTCCTTTTGCTTGGATTGATAAGAAAATGCCAAAAGGAATCCAAAACAGAATAGCGAAAAACCCGGAGATTGAAAACCCAGGAAAACTGCTGAATTCTAGTGGAATGAACTGAAAAAAAAAACATTTCAAAAAGCCATAATTCAATACCAAAAAAACATTGATCCAGTAGGATCTTTTTTTGTTTTGCCTAGTTCCTTGCACTCAAGTCCACCCCCAGAGATGATGGAAAGAGGGAAGGAAACGAATTCCAATTCTCCCCGGTTTAAACCTTGAATAAAAAATTGTGGAATTGGAATTGAAGAATTTCAATTAAATCTTTTTACCTGGAAACTTCTTCCCATAATGGACCTTTAAGACTTGAATCTCTAAAAGTGACATCCATATCCGACCTTATTTTCAATAAGGCCAATGTTTCTTGTCTCGGCCACCGGTTTCCGCCGGAGCCTCTCTCCCCAATCAGGTCATCAAGTCTGCCCTTGTCGTCTTCACTAAATCCGCCACTACTTTGGATTGTTCCGCCACCGCCCCCGAGTTCGCCGCCGCTGTCGCCTCCGCCGCTGTCGTGAGCTGCTTCCGCCGCCAACGCCGCCGCGGCGGCAGCTGCCTCAGCTGAATTATTGTTGTTGTTGTTGCTGCTGGGAGATATCAGCTGCTGCTGCTGCCCAGCAGTAGAGGGATTTCCCAACATCATCAAAAAGAAAAAAAAAGAATAATAATGAAGGAAAGAAAAATGATTGGAAGAAAATTGAATAGCTACAAGATTTTGAAGAAAGGGGGAAAAAAAAAAAGAAAAAAAGGGGAAAAAATGAAGATGAAAGAGAGAGGGAGGAGGAAGAGAGAGCAGTGATTGAAGAAGAGCTTGTTTAGCAGCAATGGGAAGGGACTTTGTTTTTGGGAGGGGGTTTTGCCCTCTTGGGGGGCAATTACAGCTGAGAAATAAAAAATATACTTATCAATTTATCAACACTACTAAAAACTTTAAAAAGAATGGGTGAAATCTATGGGTTATATGAGAAAAGATGGAGGGCGTGGTGAATTTAATAATTTATTTCGGTGGGGATCTGCCTGTCAATCTCACAAGAGAGCTATAAAAACTCAAAGATGTTTTCTTTCTTTCTTTCTTTCTCCCTTTTTTCTTAAAAAAAAAAGGAAAAAAATAAATACACAAAAAAAAAACCAAATTAAAAGAAAAAAGATTTTTTTTTCCACCCTTTTACACATACAGTTTCTCTCTCATAAGATGGGAGGAATCTTTACTAGTAGCATCAGTAGGTATAGTAATAAGATAATAATGATAAGTACTAATTAAAAAAAAATGGGGTTTTTATAATTTTCTTTTTTTTTTTTCCCACCCCTTTGCCTTAACCAAAAAGTTTTTTTGGGACTACTTTAAAGAGAAGCACCACAAGGAGTCACTTGGGCTGTCTGCAAAACAAAGAGAAGAAAAAGGAAAAAAAAAAACCGGCACAGAAAGATAGAATTATTAATTCATACGTACACGTATAATGTATGTGTATCTCGTATGTATCGTATATACTAGTATTATTTTTAGTAAATAATGGTAGATTTGAGAAATATTGAGGAGATAGAATAGATGAAGATGAATAATGTGGGGGAAGGAAAATGCAGGAAGGAAGAGGGAGGTGCAGAAAGCGACGATGGGGATAATAAGTTGGTTTTTGTCTGTCCAGCTAAATATAGTTAAAAGCCGGCCCCCTGTGTAGGTCAGCTTTGCTTTTTGGGCGTTTTGGATTTCAGTGGCTGTTGTTGCTGGGGTGGTGGGTTTTTACATTTGTGATTTTACTCTTTTCGCCCTAACATGTATCCCCCATTTGGTGCCCTTTTTTTGACCCCTTCTTCTTCTCTCTTATACCACTACTACTACATCTTTCTTACCCAGATTAGATCAATTAATTGTCTATTCTACGTACTGATCTGGGTTTTTTTTTTTTATACATGGTTTTTTTGGAAAAAAAAAAGAAGTTAAGTTGTCTATTTTAATGGTGATCACCTGATCATTGATCAGGGATTTTCTTTGGTAATCCCACATTCTTAAACTAATAATAGTGCCCATCGTCAGAGCTGGCCGTATGGCATGTGGAAGTTACTCCATTGCCCTTCTGGCATAGTATTTACCGCTGTGATGGGGTAAATTTGACACCTTAATTGATGGATGTGGTTAAAAGTTGAATATCTAGTAGGCACCTTCTTGGTGTACAAAATATAATTGTGAATCTGGACAGACATTAGACGTAACTTCTTGATCGGTTGAGAAGCCTATAGAGAATTTTCGATTCATACTTTTTATATAGAATTTATTAAATAAATAGTTAAAGGTAAGAAACATGTCTAAAATAGTAATGTGAAGTGTGAACAATCAAAATCAGCCGATCATCGGTTTGAATCTTGATTGGTCTAAAACTTATTTATTTAATTATTCATTTTGTTGATGAAAATAAGTTTAACATTGTTAGTTCAAACTCTTATCCTAAAAGAGTGTTATAATTAGGAAATGATGTCGAACAAATATTTGAGATGGTATTTCCCAATTTAGTAAACTTTAGATTTTCTTTTTTTTTTTTACAGTTTCAACTTGGTTCTTTATTTTTGAAGTTACGATGTTGCCCTTTTCTTTTTTCCTTTTCTTTTTGGTTTATAAATAGCTTGAGAAAATTGGAGGTGATTTGTATTTTCAATTTTGAAGTAAAAACTGGTGGTTGAAAACTTGAAAAGGGAATGTGATTAACAAAAATGGTGATTGTGAAGCCACGTATGGTGAAAGGGACAATTAGTGTTTGACAAACTTGGGGATTATGATTATTATTGCTCGATAATTTTTTGCCTTATAAAGAAGGATTTGTGTGTGTGTGTGTGTGTGTGTGTGTGTGAATGAAGGTGGGTTCCATTTTGCTGGAATTAAACTAGTTAGATGCAGGTCATTTTATTAGGCACTGCCATTTATGAATTGAAGTAAATAGTGTCCAATTCTGTTGGGTTGCAACCTACTCCAATTAATATGTACCCATAAATATATTTTTTCCGGAAAAATATATGGGGATATTAAAAGAGATATGTAACTAATTCGTGATTGAGATCTTCATGCTTAATGTGTTTCCCTCCATTTTTAATGTGTTTGAATTCTTGCCTCCTTCTAAGTTCTGATTATGTCAACATCTGTTCTAATCTGTTGTGATGTTCCCTAATAACTCAATCTACCACGAGTGATTGTTCAGGGTAAATTTTCAGTCTTTTAACATGGAAAAATCATTTTGAATAATTATAAAAATTCAAATTAGACAATTATTTCGGAAAAAGATAATATATATTAATATTCGGGTGACGGAAGTAATATTATTCATGAAATCAAGTTTAAAAAATGAGTAGAATGAGAATCACTATAGGAAGTTACCGTGAATTTTTGTATTCCTTAAAATATATATATCCAAGTTCAATGATTATTTCATCTATATTGGTACCAATTCTTGAGTTGATATGATTTTTTCCAAAGTAATTAAGTTGATTCCACAAAAACTAATGCCACCGGAAAAATAAGTGACTCTTTCAATTCATACACTAATAATTAAATAAAAATTAAGGCATAAATTTAAAGTAAGTATTTTCGACGTTTTCTTTGATAAAATGGCCCGATTGGGGGGAATCCGTTTACTGCATTGACTTCTCGTGAAAAAATAAAAATAAAAAACTTAAAAAACCTTTCATAACGGAAAAAAGACCAAATCGGTGAAGGGGGAAAAACAATCAGTGAAGGAGTTGACTTTTGGAAAGCTGTTAAGGAAGTAAACTCAAGTCCCGGAACGAAATGTGTGAGAAGATGTACGATACGGCAGCGTAAGAGTTTGTTAGGGGAGTTGAGAATTTAGAAAGGAAAGAAATTTAATGCCAAAATCGTTGCTGAGTTTTCTTTCCTTTGGGAATTTATTAAGGAGGAAAAAGAAAAAAAGAAAAAAAAAAGGTACAAATTAAAACAGAAATGAAAGAGAAGAAAATTTAGTTTAATTGGAAGGAAACAAAAGTAAATTTGAAGGTTATTTGTGGGCATTTTGATACTCTCTCCGTTCCAAAATAAGTGTCGTTTTAGTAAAATTGAGAAATTTCAAAATAAGTGTCGTTTTCACATTTTAATGCACTTTTTGTCCAAAAATTTCAAAATTATCCCCAAAAGAATTAATGCAATTGGTGGACATTTTCTTAATGGAGTTAGTCGAGGTTATTCAAGTAATTTTGTTACTCTATTAAAGAGTTTCTTAAACTATGTACGAAGTATAGAACGACACTTATTTTGGAAATAGACGGAGTATCGCAGAGTTTCATCTCCTAGTTACTGATACTGCAGTAAATTTTTACTAATAATCTACGTGGAATTAAGTTGTGCAGAAAATACTCGATGAAACTTGAAACCAATCGATTTACATGTCAACCACCAAATACGATAATAACGACGTATTAACGTTGTTGTTCTGAAAGGGTTTTTCGTACAGCAAAAAAACACAGGAAATGCAGACGGATGCCTAACTATGGGAGTGAGTGAACATAAATTGACACGTATCAATTTTGCATGCATATTTCCATGTGCCCACCATTAAAGTTTTTTGCTTTCTAAATGTCTGCTGCACTACTATATACTGGAGAGTGGTAGTATTATTAGCTGATCGTTATCTTCACTGTTTTATTCCTGCCAAAATTCAGTTTCTTTTTTTTTTTCTTTTAATAATTTTCCAATGAAAGAAATTAATACCCTGAAGGTTCAACGGTAAAAGATGTTAATTTACTCCTCATGAATTGATTTAGGAGTATAAGAATTCTTTTGGCGGTTGTGTATAAGAAAAATCACTGACCTCATAAATCCAACCAAAGTCGGATAAAACACTCGTGGATCAAGATCTTAGAAGGAATTAAAAAAAAAAAAATTAGTTTGCAAAATGGATCAGTAATTTTTGACAAAAGTATCATATTATTGCGAATTTGATGGAGTATTTTGGACAAACTTCTTCAGGATAAAATATACAGTAGTCAAATAAAATAGCGGACCATTCTAGTCAAGCTGTACTAATTGAAGACAGTCAGGTATATTTTATTTACCAGTACGTATTTAAATTACTTATATAAATTTAATTGCGTATTATTATAATATGCTCCACCAATCGAATCCTATTCCTTCCACATTACTACATAAATTCATTATTTCTAGCTGGTTAGTACTCCCTCCGTCCCATAATTATTGTTCAGTTTGAGTTTTCATTTCTAGTTCAAATTGTGTTAGAAGTGAAATCTCAAAATAGACAATAATTTTAGGAGGGAAGGAGTAGTTTTTTTTTTCATTTTTTAATTACTTTGATCCATACGGTTATAGGTTTTAACACACATTCTACCAATTTTGGCCAATAACAGCTCCAACAACACTTTTCAACTGGGATGTCCAGCGCTGGACAGCTGGTTAGTTATTTGAACTTGCTTTGTTTTGCCCATTCGATATATTACGATTTTACGAAAAATGAAGCTAAAACCTATACGACTAACTACACTGCGTTGCCGTTTAAATATATAAAAAAAAAAAAAAAACCTAAACTGCGTTGAAATGATTATGATAGTATCCCCAACAGTTTAGAACTCAAAAAATTAGACTATGTTGCGATTTGATGCTAAATAGTGGAGTAATAAAGCTCATTAATATGCTTTTAAAATATAGAGAGCTTAGTGTAAATTTAAGCGAAGATATGAGTATATCATGCTTAGCTTAGTGCATACTCCTGTTTAAGAGCCCCAGTTGTTTAACAGGTAGGTTAACTTTCACAGCAAGAAACAATTAGATTATGTTATTTCAAAAGATGGATCTCTCTGCTTAGCTGTCAAAGTTGAAAAATTTTACCAATCACCATGATCGTGCTGTCAACAATTAAAAAAATTTGGAGAAAACGTATAAGAAGCAAGATGGAGGTGGTGATCATGATCAAACTTACAGCTCAAAAATTACTCAAAAGAAAAAAAAAAAAAAACATTTTACTCACTTCGTCCTATTTTAATCGTCTACTTTATGGAGTCGGATTGATTAAAAAAAACATACTAGCAAGCTATTGTATTTCATATTCGAAAAACACTATTCGATTATTTGAAACACTA